CCACACATAATCCCCACTGTATTTAGGAAATGGGTTTACAATCCCCAGTTTACAGGTGAGGAAACTGAGGCTCAGAGAAGTCTATCCTCCTGTGATCACATAGCTAGTAAGCAGCAAAGCTGACATTTTAAAAAGACTTAGTACTTACTTATTCATTTATTAATTTTTGTATGTGTATACATGTCTTCTTGTGTCTATGTGCATGTGAGCATGTGGATACACTCAGCCATGGGGGTGTGCAGAGTTCACAAGAGGGTGTCGGTGTCCTCTATTTGACTCCACCTATTACTTTGAAGTAGGCTTTCACTGAACCAATGGCTCACATTTTCTTGCCTAAGCTGGAAGCCAGCAATCTTCAGTGATCCTCCTGTCTCTGCTCCCCTTGGAGTTAGGGTTAACACCCCCCCAACACACACACACATACACACCTGACATTTAAATCCAGGTTTTTGAGTTGAATATAATTCTATCACTTCGGAGGTAGGCACAGGAGGATCAGGAATTGGAAGTTCTCCTCGGCTACATACAGAATCGAGGCTAGCCTGGGTCACATGAGACTGTGTTTCAAAAGAACCAAAACAGCTAGATGGGGTGGTTCATGCCTATAATCCCAGCTCTTAGGAGGCTGGTACAGGAGAATTGCTACAAATTTGAGATCAACCTGGGCTACATAGTAAATTACAGGCCTTGATGTTGAAGGGAGGCCACTTCTTCGTCCCAGCTGCCCAGAACCAAAATAACCACACAGAAACTGTATTATTTAAATCACTGCTTGGCCCATTAGCTCTAGCTTCTTATTGGCTAACTCTTACATCGTAATTTAGCCCATTTCTAGTAATCTGTGTATCTCTACGAGGCTGTGGCTTACTGGGTAAAGTTCCCAGCATCTGTCTCCGGTGGCTCCATCGCTTCTCTCTAACTCCACCTTCCTCCTCCCATGCTATAGGCCAAGACAGTTTTCTTAAAGTCTCAGATAGATAGATAGATAGATAGATAGATAGATAGATAGATAGATAGATAGATCACACATAATGCTCACAAACAAAGGCTTTCTGTATTATGACATAAACTCAAGTCTGGAGCTGGGGATGGAGCTCAGTGGTGAAGCATTTGTTTGGCATGTTTATGACTCAGTTTGATCCCCACAAATAAAGAAGTTATTTATTTCTCCTCTGAATTACATCCATTCAGTGTAACTGCAGTTGTGTTTATTAGAGAAAAGGGACAGAACTAGACTCTCATACTCACCAATCCTTGCCCCCTCTGGTCTTTGTTCTGATCCAGGGTTCCTGGGCAGCCCCTCCTCAGAAGGGACGGCTGCTATATGCCCCTCTGTTGCTGGTGGAGGATACCACAGTGGGTGAGGGGTACCTCAACAAACTCAGTGGGCCACTGCGTACCTTCACCTGTCTGCAAGTGCCTGGAGCACATTCAGATCCAAGCCACCGCAAGAGAGGCAGTGCTGACAGTTTGGTGGAGGCTGTGAGTCCCGATGGTTATGGGGGAAGGGGTGGGAGTAGAAGGGGCAGAGGTGAGAGCTGGGGAAAGGCAACAAGGAGTGGCCAGATTCTGTGCCAAGCATGTTAAAACCCCTCTTCTCAGCACACTGTACTTGACCCTGTTCCCCTGAACACTTCCATTAGCACATCGCTTCACAGTGACCACTCTGTTCATTGTGCCATTGGTCAACACTCTTCCTACTTAATCCCCGCCCCAGGTGCTCATCTCTGAAGGCCTAGGTCTCTTTGCCCAAGACCCACGATTTGTGGCACTAGCCAAGCAGGAGATTGCAGACGCATGTCACTTGACATTGGATGAAATGGACAGTGCTGCCAGTGACCTGCTGGCACAGAGAACTGCCTCCCTTTATAGTGATGAAGAGTCTATTCTTTCCCGCTTTGATGAAGAGGACCTGGGAGATGAGATGGCCTGCGTTCATGCCCTCTAAAGTCTTACCCCTCATCCACTGCTCAATAAACCCCCTGCCCTTCCTTCGCCCAGAAGGAGGCAAGCATTGAGCACACACTGCTGGATTTTGGTGTCTTTGTGCTGGCAGCCCAGCCATTTCCATCCATCCCTTATTGCATCCCTGAGCCACTGCCCACACATGAGTATTTCCAGAAACCAGGACAGCTAGGCCTGATTATTCAGCGTCAGGGAAGGAGGGAGGAGGAGGAGAAAGAGACAGCAGCCAAAAAAAGCTGGAGACAGAGTGGAGGTGGGGGAGAAGGAGGGCACCGGGCAGATAGGGGGAGGGAAGAGAAGAGACACTGGGTATCCGCATAGTAGGAAAGGGCAGAGGCGTTCCAAGGGGGTCATCAGTCAGGTCAGCCTGAAGAAGGACAGACTGTACAAGAGTTTTGACAGCGAGAAGGCCTAGAGCTTACAGTTAACCTGGTAACTTAAGCAGAAATGTCCTCATCAAGAATTTTGGGAATGTTAAATTGGTATCGTAAGTGTCTCCCATTTCCCATCTTCTGCCTGAGAAAAAGAACAAAAGTCTAAATCCGTTGGTAGAAATTGTAGGTGACAGCAAACAGTGGTGCTTCTAGCTTCAGGGAACCGATGCCGAGCCCCCTTGATCTTCCTGAAACAGCTGAGAGTAACTCTCCTCCCACACAGATGCCTGAGCTCCTCTTTCTGCTTCTGGCTCTGCCTTTGGGGGTCTCATTCATTCAGGGAAAGCTTATCAGGCATTTGGTGTGTGCCAGGTGCCTTGCTGGTTTCCCTCAGGGCACACTAAGGTGGCTTAGACATGTGACAAGGTTTATCGAAAGTGGGAGTCAGCTCCCCTCCAAAGGAAGTGCAGGTAGTGTAGTGAATGGGGTCAGATGCGACCGCCCTAAAATGGATCCCGCCCGACTCTTGAAGCAGGGGGTTCTTATTTGTATCTTTTAGATCAACCAAGCCAGGAAATTTGGGAGGAGCCGCCATCAAAGACTGAGTCTCTAAACACACAATTATACTGGCATTGAAACAAAGGTTTAAAGTAATTGGGTTGGTGTATGATAAAAGAGCAAGTTAGGCCGGGCGGAGGTGGCACACGTGGCGCACGCCTTTAATCCCAGCACTGGAGAGGCAGAGGCAGGCGGATCTCTATGAGCTCGAGGCCAGCCTGGTCTACAGAGCTAGTTCCAGGACAGGCTCCAAAGCTAAAGAGAAACCCTGTCTCGAAATACCAGAAGGAAAAAAAAAATCAAGCAGTCTTGAATGCCAGGTTCTAAGATGTCTGCTTTTTATATCGAAAAGCATGGGAACTATAGGAAAGAGGTGAGTAAGTTAATGACATAGTTAACTGTGCATTTGAAATAGATGCTCTGGTGGTATACTGCGAACAGGCTGGAGGGAAAAGAGTAGAGATGCTAAAATTGGCAGAAGTGATGGTTCCCCTAGCCAGGGAAGTTAACAAGGGGCTTGGTGAGAAGTCAGTGAATTCCAGGACTGTAAAGGAAGTAAAATGAACCATGTCTTGATCCCTGGACTAAGTGCATTATAGTTGACTATCTTTTTTAATATGTATGAAAAGCCTAAATATAATATTTTAAAACATTTTACATGTCTAAGGTCAAACAGGAGTAAATATTAGAAATGAGATTCAAGCAACTGAGAGCCAAAACTCAAACAACTGGGAAGTATCTATTACATACTTGTGCTTTTAGAAATAAATATAGGAGCCAGGCGTGGTGGTGCAAGCCTTATTCCTAGCATTCAGGAGGCAGAAGCAGGCAGATCTCTGTGAGTTCAAGGCCAGCCTGGTCTACAGAGCTAGTTCCAGGACAGGCTCCAAAGCTACAGAGAAACCCTGTCTTGAAAAATCAAAAAAGAAAAAGAAAAAGAAAAGAAAAAAGAAAGAAAGAAATTTAACGTCATCCTCTAAATTCAAGGCCAACCTGGACTATGTGAAATTCTACCTCAAAAATAAATAAATAAATAAATAAACGGCATTCATCCAAATGTTTAGACTTTCAAAGATACAGAGAGGTATGGAACGGTGTTCTTTTCCGCTGCTGACAGTGTTATCCATTTTCTTTTATTACCTGTGTAAGCTGATGCACTCATAGGTTATCACTTAGTATCTTAGTGCTTTTTACACACATTTCTTAATGGGAGGTTGACCATCTTAACCTCAACTATATTTTATCCCTCGGATTTTGTAACATGGCAATCATCACTGACCTTGATGGGCCTAGTTTTAGTATCACAAAAGAGGGTAGTCCATTAAGAGATGGAGGCCCCACACAGTGCCGAGAGAGAGAGAGAGAGAGAGAGAGAGAGAGAGAGAGAGAGAGAGAGACACTACTCTGGCAAGCTGTCCTTTCATCTCCAGGCCTGTACTCTGGTGCCCCCCTTCCTTCCCTTCATCTCTCTACCCATACTAAATCAATGACGTTTTACAAGAAAGAGGGCTAACACACAATCAATGTATTAAAAGAGAGGCCAAGGGAAAAAAAAAACAGAAGGTGAAGTTCAGTTAGAGTAGGCAATAATTTGACCAAGAAAAAGAGAAAAATTGAGGTGGTTAGAGATTGGGGATGTGCTTAAAAATGCAGATTTTCCAAAAGGAATCCTCTGGACCTTGAACTGTCTTTTAACCTGCAGAGACTCTGAGCATCGCTGATTACTAACTGTGTGACCTTGTGCAAGTCACAATCTCTCCGGAGACTCATTTTTCTCACCCGTAAAAACAGGACTAATAGTCACTGCTATATAGGGGTTAAAGGAGTGAACACAGTGTAACAAACACGGCATTCGGCTTGGCAAAATATTATAGAACTGAGTGGTCCTCCTATCCCCAGACAGCTACCTATGCTTTCTGAAAAGACCCAGCACTTTAAGATTTACGGATTCCAGCCTCCAGGATGGAATGGCTGCAGGCGAGCTGGAGGGTGAGGGGGGTACCGTGGTGCGCAGGCGCTCGCCCGAAAGAGAGACAGAGTGAGAGGGGCGGGGCTGCCGCCGACTGGGCTGTTCCGACGATCGCGCGCCGCCCCCGCCGCGCCCCGCGCCCGCCCTTGCTAGCAGGCACCTTCCGCCCCCTGCATTGCTGATGCTGCTGCTGGCAGACATGGACGTGGTGAATCAGGTATGCGCTTCAGCACCGTGGATAGAGCCCAGCGCTGGCTGGAGCCCCGGTGGCTATGGCCCCTCCAACCCTAAGAGGTGTTGGCCAGGGTAGCGGGATGCGGTCACTGGGGACTAGGATGGAATTGGGGGGTCTGCAGCAGGCTAGGGGAGGAAGGAAGGTGGAGAAAAGGAGTGCGCTTTTTTGCCGCATCGAGGACTATCCTCACTGCCGCAGAGGGGGCCGCCAGAGCCCCATAAGAACTGTCGGTGGGGAAAAAGAGGGGAGCCCGGGTCTAGGAAGAGGGTAAAGGGGTAGGGGAGGGGGAAACGAAAATAAGACTTGGGGGGCTGCAGATGAGCTAGGAAATAGAGCGACAGAAGGTGTGGGGGCAGGGTGGGGAAGGGCTGGCATCCGCCCCTCCCAGAGATTTCACCCCGTAGATGACCACCCTTCGTCCCCCAGCAGATTTAGGGGGACGATCCGATTTTGCCTCTCCAAAGCCCCCAGGCTCCTCATTCCCAGCGCATATCCAGTGAATCCATGCCCCAGCTCTCCCCCACCTTAATCATTCCAGACCATCTCCGCCATCTCCTTCTTCTTCATCGCCTCAGAACTGGCTTCCTCCCTAACCAGTAGCGACCCCTCCCCACCCGCATCGCCTCAGACACAAGCACCATCCTCTGACTCACGTTTACCACTGCAGACCCCTCCCCTATGCTGTTGTGACTCACCTTCATCCCTCGGCGCCCCCTCCCCCACTCGAATGAACCCCATCTTCTTCCACTCAACCTTTTCCCTTTTCCCTTTCTGAGTCACCTTTAAGCAGCTCAGACTCGCCTTCCCTAACTAGTCTGGACCTCATCTATTTTCTACCCCCGACCTCTGCCGTGTGACTCATCGGCTCACACTTCACCACCCCTGAACCCTGGGGGTTTACTCTGAGACCCTGGTGTTTACTCCTTCCCCAAAGTGTCATTTTCTCCTCCTCACTCCCTCTCCATATGTCACCTACTTCTAGGGGTCACATGCCCTATCCCCAGGGATCAATGCTTGGCAGCCTGGCCCCTCACCTCTGTATTCCCCACCACCTCCCTCCCCCACTGTTTTTCTCCTCAGCTGGTGGCTGGGGGTCAGTTCCGGGTGGTCAAGGAGCCCCTTGGCTTCGTGAAGGTGCTGCAGTGGGTAAGTGTGGTCTGGGTTGTGGGGTGGGTGGAGTGCAAGGAGAAAGGGTGGTAATGGGGTCCTGAAGAACAGGGGTGCTGGAGGGTCAGGGAACCAGACAAGAACTGGAGTGGAAGAAGATGAGGGAATTGGACTCTAGAGTAAGGTCCCAGGGGTTTAAGGGACAGGGAACAGATAGGCTATGACGTCACATAAGGCCAAGGGTACCCCTGTTGTGGAGTGACAGATTGTGACGTCCTACCTCCTCTCTTGAACTAAAAAAGGGAGGGATGGGAGGTGGCGCCTGAAGCTGAGAGAGAGAGAGAAAGAGAGAGAGAGAGAGAGAGAGAGAGAGAGAGAGAGAGAGAGAGAGAGAGATGCAAAACCAGAAAAATCCAGAGATGGTAAAGGAGACAGAGAATGAGAGGCAGGGAATGGTAGAGACAGTGATGTAAATGCCAAGAAAAAATGAGATGAGAGCCAGAGAACTGGGCGTGAGGCAGAAAAATGTGGTAGGGGAAAGAAAGGCACACACAGATAGATGGACACCCAAAAGAGAAAACAGAGAGCAACATACAGAAATGGGCACAAGGGGGACGGGGAACCATAGAGACCTTGTGACAGGCAGAGCAGAACAGACAGGCAGACCAAGAAACAAGTGTGTAGAGACATACAGTCATACAGAGTGAAAAGAGAGGGGGGGGGAGGATCGGGGAGAATATGCATAGAAACACAGATACTGAGAGAAAGAGATGCAAAAGACAAAGATGCAACGAGTGACAGAAGAGAAGAGAAAAAGAAAGGGGAGAAGGGACAGGGGGAGGGGAAGGAAGGGGAGGGGGGAGAAGCCAGAGCACCCAGAGGTAAAAGCAGAGACACAAGGAGAGAGAAACAGTCACACCCTTGTAATCAGCTTGTGCTAGGACCCGGTGAACCCTGATTAGGGGGGTGGGGGTGGGGACCTCTCCATCTGCTGCTGTCTCTGCTGCCCCCCTCAATCTGTCCAGAGGAGGGCACTCCCTCCCACATGCATACAGGCTCACTGCAGCCATCCCCTTCCCTGCTACCCAAGGTCTTTGCCATCTTCGCCTTTGCTACATGTGGCAGCTACAACGGAGAGCTTCGGCTGAGCGTGGAGTGTGCCAACAAGACGGAGAGTGCCCTCAACATCGAAGTTGAATTTGAGTACCCCTTCAGGTGTGCCCCTGCCCTGGTATCCTGAGACCTGGGAGAGGCAGGGCCGGGGTGAGGGTGGGTCTGAACAATCCTTCCCCATGACCTCTGCACAGCACACACAGGTCATGGCCACTGGGATCGCTGCCCGTGTGCTGAACACCTACTGTGTAACTGGCACTGCTCCTGATCTCTAGGACAATGTGATATGCAAGACAGACACAGGGTGTCACCCTCTCTAGCTATATTCTGGGGGGGGGAATACAAGACAGGAAATAAGTACGATTCATAAGCAAATGGCAAAGTTGGGGCTGTAGCGCAGTGGTAGGGAGCTTGCACAGCCTTGGCACGGCACTGGGATACAGAGAGAGAAAGAGAGCTACATGTGTATAAACACATATGTGTACGTTTGAATGCGGTAAATGCTCAATTAATGTTCATTGCTGGGTGTGGTGGCAAATGCTTGTAATCCCAGCACTTAGGAGGCTACGCCAGAAAGATTGTGGTGAGTTCCGGGCTACCCTCAGATCCAAAGTGAGGTCTTGTCTCAAAATAAGGGGAGTGTAATGGCTCAGCAGGTAGAGTCCCTTGCCACTAAGCCTGACAACTCGACTTTGATCGCTAAGTCACATGCGGTAGAAGAAAGAATAGACTCCCTTCAAATCATTCTCTGACCTCCACACATGAGCTGTGACAAACATACACCTACATACATGTGGGCATGCACACACTAAATACAATTTTTAAAAGACATATTTTAAAAATAAGGCTAGTTAACATTATTTACTTCTCAACGTGCTGGAGTTTAACCGGGACTAAAGCAGATCAAATTCCCAGTCCTCATGACTCTCCATTAGAACAAACAAAAGGGGATAACTATTGATGCAGATAAATACTAGAGGCATATCCTCATGCAGGGGTTTGGCTAGAAAATAATGGGGATGCTGTATAGATATGGAAAATCATGGGACCAAATTAGAGGTTCCCGATGTTTACTGAGCCCCGAACATGTGGCAGGCATTGTGCTAGGTGTCAGGTGTACATGTGTATGGACAAGCTGGAGGAACTGCTCCATCTTAAGGATGGGGACACAGACCCACAGTTTCGCTTGACTTTCCTTGACGACTGAAGCAAATCATGTCACACACAGTTTGAGTCTCAAGTTCCTCGTTTGTAAACAGAGATAATAATATTGATGCTCCACAAGGGGATGGGACATCTTCACTAAGTCGATACTTGTAAAGCACTCAGTGCAGTGTCTGGGACCAAGAAGTGCTCTGCATGTGCTTGTTAAGTGTAAGAAATCAGATTTAGATCTTGGCGAAGAATTGGGAGTTGGGCAACACCAAGGGTAAATGGAGGCCTAAAAGATCACACAGTTGGGAGAGGGAAGCCAGCTCGGGTCCTGACCAGTGATAGAAACGGGAGACGGCAGCAGAGCATGACCGAGAGAAACAGAGAGAAGTCAGAGCTATCCAGATTCACGTAAGCCACGGAGAAAAGAGTTTGGGGACTGAGGGTGTAGCTCAATAGCAAAGCACTTGTCTAGCATGCCTTCGGTCCCATCTCAAGTACCTTGGAGAAGGGGGAGGCACACACATGATGTTTGGGGGTGGGGTGAGGGGTAGTTGGCAGCATAAGAACCAGCCTTTTGGGAATTCCCTAAAGGCCACAGAAGCCCTCTATGAATCCCCCACCCCCACCCCAGCATCTTCTATGCTTGGGATCTCTGCTATAGGAGACACCAGTTCTATTTGTTCAGTCCTGGAAGCCAGTTTCCAACGTGAGGCCAGAGCTGCGGGCTCCCAGGCCAGTTCTATTCTGCCCACACATGAGGCTTTCCCCATCACAGCACAGGGAAGGCCTTTGACTCAGAACACCTTCCCAGTCTGCCCTTCACACAGCCTGTTCCAATATCCCTCTACTCTTCAGTCTTTTCCTATTTCACAGCTGTTGGGCTTCTCTGCCACGCATACATTTTTTTTTATCTCAGGGACCTAAAAAGAGTCTCTAAAAAGAGAAAAGCGTCAACATGATTTAGGAGGAGATGGGATTCATACAGCAGCTCTGTCCTTCCTCTACTAGCTGCGTGACTATACAAGCAAATGCACTTCTCTAAGCCTGTTCCCATCTCTGTGCTTCACCCTAAAAACACTGCTCAAGAACCTAATTGGTGCCAGCACTGTTCCAGACCCTTGGGATCTGTCAGTAAATGAAAAAGGAATAAGCCCTGCCCCCTCATAGTTACAGGGGAAAAAATCAAGGGAAAATAGTAAATCCCGAGCTGGGGAGCTAGCTCTGTCAGTAGAGTGCTTGTCTTACAGGTGTGAGGACTTGAGCTTGACCCCCCAGAACCCACATTAAACAAACCCAGCACAGTGGCTTGTGCCAGAATCCCTGGCACACCATGGACAGCCAACTTAGGGTAATTGGTGAGTTCCAAGCCAGAAAGAGACCCTGTTTCAAAAAGAGGGGTGATGGTACCTGAGGAACAACACGTGAGGTTAAAATTTGTCTGTCACAAGTCTGTGCAACTGCATACACACCAACAAATGTGCACCTGCACACACACGCGCATCCAAACACAAACACACACATGCATAAGGTCCTATGTTCAATCATCAGCACCAAAAAGGTTTTAAAAGTGAGATGGGGAAAATCTTTAATGAGAAGGTGATTCTTAAGCAAAGTCTGAAGGAGCTGGAAGAATAAGACATGAGGCCAGGCCTTGGTGGCGCACACCTTTAATCTGAGCACAAGGGAGGCAGAGGTGCATGAATCCCTGTGAGTTCAAGGCCAGCCTGGTCTACAAGAGCTAGTTCCAGGACAGCTAGGACTGTTACACGGGGAAACCCTGTCTCGAAAAACAAACATACAAACCAAAAAAGAATAAGACATGAGACTATGTTAAGGAAGGGCATGCTTACATGCTCTTCCAAAGGGCTGTGAAACAATAAGGGGAGAGCATGCCTGTTAAAGAGAGCATGCAGCCAATGCAAAGACCCCAGAGTAAAAAGATATGATAGCTGGTATGTTCTAGGACAAACTCAGAAGCAGAAGTGCTTGGGTTGCACTGGGGGAGGGATACCACATATCTTACCAGGATGCTTTCAGCAACCAATGGTACATTGTCAGTGCTCAGTGCATGGTCGTTTCCTCCTCTTCCTGGGACCTCGAAACAATCTGGGAAACCCATGGTTGGGAAGGTGAGAAAGGGATTCTTAGAGTCTGGGCCCCACCTACACACCTCTCTCTTCAGGCTGCACCAAGTGTACTTTGATGCACCCACCTGCAAAGGGGGCACCACCAAGGTCTTCCTAGTTGGAGACTACTCCTCGTCAGCCGAATTCTTCGTCACCGTGGCTGTGTTTGCCTTCCTCTATTCCATGGGGGCCCTGGCTACCTACATCTTCCTGCAGAACAAGTACCGAGAGAACAACAAAGGGCCCATGATGGTGAGTCCCCACAGCTGATGGCATGCATTGACCAGGGACATGAGGCTGCATGAGGCTCACAAGCCAAACCGACTCCAAGACAGGCCCATTGCCAAGCAGCCCAACACTGCTGTTGTCTCCATGACTCGACAGTGGGCATCTGGCTTGTGAAGCCATAAAGTCATAGAGAAATACACACAGCCCACACGGAATGCCAGGCCGGCCCACAACCTGACCCTATATCTTTCACACAGCCACAGAGACTAGATCAAAGGAAGTTCACTGTGACAGAAATACGTCACCCTGCCACACAGACACTGATTCCTACACAGAGATATTCTCACACCCTCATCCCAGACATAAAATGACACATATTCCCACATGCAAATAAAAGCGGTAAGACACACTTCTCAGAGATTCAGAAACATCCCACAGACTTAGTTCCTCCCTCAACATCCGCACCCACACCAGCACACTCCCACAGCTTCTGTATCATACACACTCACAGGAACTCAAGCTGAACACACTGGGAGCTTCCGGGCTGCAAAGGCAGAAGTGAGGCAGGCCTCTTCTAGAGGACCCCTCCCACAAAAGCGTGTCACCTCAAAAGGGCTGGGGGCTCAACTTGAAGCAGTCCATTCACAGTGACATCTTCCTCATCCCTGACTAGGACTTTCTGGCCACGGCCGTGTTTGCCTTCATGTGGCTAGTTAGCTCATCTGCTTGGGCCAAAGGCCTGTCCGATGTGAAGATGGCCACGGACCCAGAGGACATTATCAAGGGGATGACTGTGTGCCGCCAGGCAGGGAACACGTGCAAGGAACTGAGGGACCCTGTGACTTCAGGACTCAACACCTCAGTGGTAAGCCCTGGGAAGCTGGCTGGGTGGGAAGAAAAAAGCTGAAGGGCACAGTCTGGGATGGACAGTGGTGGAGACCAAAGATGAGAGGTGAGTCAGGAGATCCATGGGGGCTCCCAGGAGGAGGCATGCCAACAAAAGCAAGCTGAACAATGATAATCGTTAGGATAGCACACTCTGTCTGTCCCCCATTGGGGGGAACATGAGGCCCTTCAGATTAAGCCGGGACACCTGGACCCAGCCCAGTAAGGTTAAATCTCCTGAAACTCAGTATCCTCCCAGGACTTGTTTCAGAAACTGCAAAAGAAAAGACTGTCTTGAAATGGTTCCCGTCTTGGACGCCCCCTACTGGCTAGAATCAGTCTGAACATAGATCCTATCACTTGCAAGCTCTGTGACCTACAGCTAGTGACAAACCTTTTGGGGATCATTTTGAGCATGTAATTGAAGGCTAATAATGCTAGGTCCTGCTCCAAAGCTGAGTTCTCACTGAATTCACACCACACAAAGTGCTTAGGAAGCAACCTGACACAATATCGCATCCTATATCACTATTGCAGATGCTAAAATTTGAACCATTCTTTCCTGCCTCTTGTTGTGTTATCTTGGGTAACTTAGCCTCTGAGGACTTGACTTTAAAATAAACATAACAAGGCTGGAGAGGAGGCTCAGTGGTTAAGATCATCGGCTGCTCTTCCAGAGGACACAGATTCGAGTCACATGGCAGCTCACGCCTGTCTGTAACTCCCGTTCCAGGGGATCCGACACCCTCACGCAGACATACATGCAGGCAAAACACCAATACACATAATTTTTTTAAAAAAATTAATTAATTAAAATAAATAAAGTGGACATATCAAGGGTTGAAGAGATGGCTCAGTGATAAAGAGTACTTGCTGCTCAGCTGGGCAGCAGTGGCGCACGCCTTTAATCCCAGCACTCGGGAGGCAGAGGCAGGTGGGTCTCTGTGAGTTCGAGACCAGCCTGGTCTACAGATCGCGTTCCAGGACAGCCAAGGTTACACAGGGAAACCCTGTCTCAGGGGAGGGTTGCAGGAGGATGGTGAACACTCGCTGCCTTTGCAGAGCACCGAGATTCAATTCCTAGCACCCACACTTTGGCTCTGACCCCTCCATAATCCTAGTTCCAAGGAACTTGTACCCTCTCTGATCTTCTCAAGGACCAAGCATGCAGGTGGTACGCATGCATATGTGTGGCCAAAACGCTATATCCCTAAATGAAATTTGAAATCTGGGGCAGGAAGACTGGCGAGAGTTTGAGACTCTGGGTTATATAATGAGTTCCAGGATAGCCTAGGCTGCAGAGTAAGATCTTGTCTCAAAAAAAAAAAGAAAGAAAAAGGAAAAGAAACTAAAAATACTAAAACTAAAATGGGATATCCACTGGGTGTAGTGATGCATGTGTGTAGTCTCAGCTACCAGACAAGTAGAGACAGAAGATCAAGCACTTGAGCCCAGGAGTTCTGGGCCAACCTGGGCAACATTTCAAGGCTATCTCAGAAAAAGAATAAAATAAAATGTAGATTTTACTTCCTGTCCAAACATGGAACTTTAAGTGAACTAATATTGTTTAAGGTACTCAGAAGAGGGTTTGACATAATAGTAAATGGCATATAGTATTTTGTTTTTTAAAGTGTTTTATTGTTTGATATATTATTTATAATTTTAAATTGTTTTTCTTTAAGAGCATATATTAGTTAGGCATGGTAGCATATATCTTTAGTCTCAGCATTTGGGAGCAGAGGCATATGGATCTCTGTGAGCTTGGTCTACATAATGAGTTCCAGGACAGCTAGGACTACACAGAGAAACCCTGTCTAAAACAACCAAAACAAAACAAAAAAGCATTTATTTAGAGTCAGAAATGTTAATACACACCTGTAAACCGAGCACTTAAAACACTAATTTTTTTAAAAGACTTATTTTTTACGTATGAGTATTTTGCTTACACGTGTGTATGTGTACCACTTTTATTCTTGGTGCCTGTGGAGTTTAAGAAGAGGGTGTCAGAAGCCAGACATAATGGTGCAGGTCTTTACTCCCAGCACTTGGGAGGCAGAGGCAGGTAGATCTCTGTGAGTTCGAGGCCAGCCTGGTCCACAGAGGGAGTTCAGATAGCCAAGGCTACACAGGGAAGCCTTGACTAGAAAAAGCTTAAAAAAGAAGAGAGTGCAGATACCCTAAAACTGGAGTTATGTGTGTTTGTGAGCCATCATGTGGGTGCTGGAAATTGAACTGAGCCTAAATCCTCTTAACCCTGAGCCATTATTCCACCCTCAGGGCTAATTTAAAGCCAGACTAGCCTACATAGTGAGCTCCAAGCCATCCTGGGGTAAATGACAAGATCCTGTATTAAAAACAAAAATCAAATGAGCACACCATGTCTCTTGCACTTTCAAACACAGACACACACGCACACACACAAACACTATAAATAAATGAATTTAATAAAAAGTAAAGCCACCAGGCAGTGATGGCACATGCCTTTAATCTCAGCACTCGGGAGACAGAGGCAGGCGGATCTCTGTGAGCTCGAGGCCAGCCTGGTCTACTGAGTGAGTTCCAGGACAGGCTCCAAAGCTACAGAGAAACCCTGTCTTGATAAATAAATATGAGAGAGAGAGAGAGAGAGAGAGAGAGAGAGAGAGAGAGAGAGAGGAATGAAACCAAGGATATTTGTTTAGTACAAGGTGAAAGATTTATATGATCTGAAGAGAAACCAGAGTATAAGGATATTTGTTTAAAAAGTAAAAGAAAACGGGACTGGAGAGATGGCTCAGTGGTTAAGAACACTTACTGCTTTTCCTAAGAATGGCAGTTCAATTCCTATTGCTCGGGAGGCAGAGGCCAGCTCAGCCTGCATAGTGAGTTCCAGGACTGCCAGTAAAACCCTGTCTCAACAACCACAAGAAGCATTTGGGAGGCAGAGGCAGATCTGAGTTCAAGGCCAGCCTAGTCTACATAACAAATTCCAGGATGGCCAGAACTACATAGAGAGAACCTGTCTCAGAAAAATATATATAT